CGGTGTGTGTGTGTGTGTGTGTGTGTGTGTGTGTGTGTGTGTGTGTGTGTGTGTGTGTGTGTGAGAGAGAGAGTACAAAGAGTACTTGACCTTGAAGGTGTGACGTGGCAGGAGTTTATACTTGTTCCCTTCACAGGGGCATGGTGCACACCTATGTTTTTAACTATAGCCCCACTTCCACAGTTCATTCCTAAAAGTAGTTTGGCTTTAGGCCAAGGGGGTGTATCTTAGGTATGGTCTTGTGAAGGGACCACAGCTCAGTCCATCGTCCCTGCTCCAGCCCCACCCTAACCCCATTATTAAAGCCTGCTGTGGAAGAGTCAGGCCTAAGCCAGGGAAGGGGGAGTACAAATATACACATTCCCTTTGCACTGGGCCAATCTGGGGGGCTCCTTAGGGTGCTGTTTGCATCTAGCTGGGGTAGAGGACATGGGCAGTGCCATGATCGGCCACAAGCGAGGGCAGCCAGGAGGAAAACAAGAGCTCTGCCTGTTGGTGGAGTGCTTCAGACAAACAGGTACTGTCTTGGGACAGGTCCAGATAAACCCAAACTCAGCACTGCCAACCCCAAGCCTTTAAAAAAAGAAGCAGGAGTCAGCACCCCCCAAACCCATGAGATTTAAAAATAATAAATACAAACCTGTTGGGTTTTTATTTATTTATTTATTTGCCTTGTGCCGCCCCCTCCCCCCGGGCCCAGTTTTTACAGTTCACTTTTCCAAGTTTCTCTCTGTAACCCTCAGGCCAGGAAATGAACTGTTTGTTTTTTAAAGAAAGCCAAGATTCCTGGAGTCATGTGATCATGATTCCAGGAAAGAAGACTTTATGAGGGACAAACATCACAAGACTCTCAGTGAAAGTCGAGAGCTAGCAGCTCTGCAAACTGGATTTTTCTGTGCTCCCCCTCCCCCTCCCCCCCAAAATAGATCCTAGCACTACCCCCCCCCCAAAACAGCAACAATGGGTCAGGTCAAGGTCCCATTTTACCCAGCTCTTCCCCTCACACACACACACTTTGAAGGCAGAGGCAGGGTTGGAGAGAACAGGAGTCAGATAAATGGGCCCTGAAATAGGGCAAAACCCAGAATGATTTAGAACCGCACCAGTTCCCCGTCTTTCTAAAAAAAAGGGGGTGGAATAAATACTTTAGCTCATCTTCACTTACAAGGAGGGAAAACTCCTAACCACAAAATTCAGACTGAATCAAGGAGGTCTGTTGCCGCCCCCACCCCAAGCTCCCAATGCAGCAAGGGAGAGCAATCGTCCCCTACCTGAACTTCTCTGGCCTACCAGGGTTCCAGCTCCTGCTCCAATTTGCCCTTCCTGGCCATGTAATTAACTCCTTGGTTGTCATGGGAGGTGAGCAGGAAGAGGACTAACATTATTTCCTAGGGTAACATCATCATGCACTTGGCGAGAATGGCCCATCCTCACGAGCAAGAGAAAACTGAACAGGAGAGAGAGACTCACCAGCTAGGAAGGAAGGCAGGAGATGCAGCCACTCACCAAACATGGCTGCTTTAGGGCTGCAGCTCCGTGGCTCTGCCAAATTTAAAGGGCCAGCTCCAGCAAGGCATGGTGGGAAGAGCGCTCCTTTAAGAAGGCAACCTTGTACCAGGGAGAAGTTAGGAGGGGCCAAGAGATCACCCAGACAAGCACTGCTTCTGCCTCCATGTGTTATATGCTTTAATAGCCCTTTTTATCCAAGCACGTCAAAGGACTTTGCCTCCGAACAGAGGCATGAGGTGGTATTCTGCCTGGCTCACAGATGTATACACAGAGGCATAAGGAATGGTAGAGAAGAGGAATACATAGTATTCATTTTACTATGAATATATACTTCATAACTCCAAGGAAGCACAAGAGGGGAACAGTGTAACATACATAGGTTTGTGGTCTTCCATTCAGCCCTACATCTCATATGACGCTATGTAGAAATGACAGAACATCTAGGTACCCAGGGGATGCTCCAGGCACCTGCGCAGCAAGCGCGTGCCTGGGGCGGCAAGCTGCGGGGGGTGGCAAGCCATGGGGGGTGGCCTGCCGGTCGCTGTGAGGGCGGCAGTCAGGCAGCCTTCAGTGGCATGCCTGGGGGAGGTCCGGTGGTCCCGCAGTTTCGGCGGCAATATGGCGGCAGATACGTCGAAGCCTTGGGACCGGCAGATCACCTGCAGAAACGCCGCTGAAGCTGCGTGACTGCGGACCGCCCATAGGCATGCTGCCGAAGGCCACCTGACTGCCATACTTGGGGCGGCAAAAAACATAGGGCCGCCCCTGTAGGTACCTGTAGGAAATGGAAAAGGCCCAGATCTGTGCTGAGCACCCCGACCTTCTTTTGAGCTCAATGCTCTTTCCAGGATGGAGTCTGGAGATGGCCTGATGTGCCTGGAGCCAACTCTCGCTTCTCACTCCAAAAGCAAATGGAGCTGTCTGCTCTGGAGTTGACAGTCAAGTGAAATCTTGACCTCCGGGGCCCAGAGGGGAGCTGCCTCTTTGGACTGATGATGTAATTTGGGTTTGGAAGGGGGATCTGCACTAGTTCTGTTTCCCTCTGTGTTTTTCCTGCCACCCTCTGAAAGATTTAACCCTTTGGGTTCTGTTTCCTAGCAGAGATGTGCCCGGCAGTATCAGATGCTGCACCACCAACTTGTTTCCTTCCTGGGTAGGAGGTTAAAAACCAACAACAAACGAACAAAAGAAGAGTCAGGACTCTCTAATCAAAGAGTAAAAATGAGATTTTGGGGGCAGGGGTTTGTTTTATACAAAGACTCAGTGTGTTCCTACTTTAGCTTTTTCGCTACATCGCCAGGTATTCTTGCTGAAGAGAGGAGATGGGACATCCTCTCTGGTCACCGTACACACTCCCATCAAAGTGAGTTAGGGGGACCAAGGGTCTCCCGCTTTTCTCTCCTCAGAGCAATGGGGCCAGGCTGCTTAGAGAGTCTTCACCACTTCCTGGTTTAGTTGTGCTCTTAACGTGGCATCATTCCCTCCCCCCAGGTCACCAGCGAGAAGACTGGAAGACACCACAATGTTATTGCTGTGGTACTAATGCTGTGGCATTACTGAGCGCTTAATGCACGAGCACCCAGCTGCGAGGAGCACATCCTTCCACCTCTGCAGCCTGCTCCTGGAAACAGGGCCTTGCACACACCCAGAGGGGATTTCCCAGAGCCCTGAGCTCCACCCAGCTGGGAGATGCCGACACTGAAGCCACAGCAGAATGAGTCCTTCTCTTGGGAAAGCAGCAAAGGCGGGTCTTTCTAATCCACGTTGCAGCACCAGCAGCGGCGGGTTATCTTTAACGTTACCAGTGTGTGATGACCGCGAAGAGAATCTGCAGCGCCATGGAGAAGCAGGGCAGCTGTGCCACGCTGTAGGCCACCGAGCGTGTGGGAGCTTTCAGCTGCAGGAGGTATGCCACGGTGTGAACTATCCGTCCCACGCAGAAGATCAGGAAGTGGATCCTTGCCACGGTGGGATTGGGGTCCAGCAGGGAGTAGATGGCCCCAAGGAAGAGGAAGGGGAAAATGTTCTCCATGTCATTGCGATGGGCCCTGGAAATGTGAATAGGACAATTCAGGCTTATGGGGCTGCCTTGGAGTCCATTCCCTCCCACCAATCACTGAGCTGCCCAATTCTTCTTCCCACCCCACCTCCATACCCTAGTCAGCCCATATTGACGCCCCTGCCTTTCTGGACTGGATGGACTCTCCCTTTGCAGCCCATCCGTACAGAAAACGGGATGGATGGGTTGCTGTTGGGTGGAATGCCACGGACTACTGGTGAGGAATAAGCAGCAGAAACAAGTTTCAGAGCAGCAGCCGTGTTAGTCTGTGTCCGCAAAGAGAACAGGAGTACTTGTGGCACCTTAGAGACTAACACATTTATTTGAGCATAAGCTTTTGTGGGCTGCAGCTCACTTCATCAGATGCATGTAGTGGAAAATACAGTAGGAAGATATATATATATATACCCAGAGAACATGAAACAATGGGTGTTACCATACACACATGTAAGTCCAGCAACCACACAACAAAAACACCAACCCAGGAACCTATTCTTGCAACAAAGCCCGTTGCCAACTCTGTCCACATATCTATTCAGGGGATACCATCATAGGATCTAATCACATCAGTCACACCATCAGGGGCTCGTTCACCTGCACATCTACCAATGTGATATATGCCATCATGTGCCAGCAATGCCCCTCTGCCATGTACATTGGCCAAACCGGACAGTCTCTATGCAAAAGAATTAATGGACACAAATCAGACGTCAAGAATTATAACATTCAAAAACCAGTTGGGGAACACTTCAGCCTCCCTGGCCACTCGATTACAGACCTAAAAGTCGCAATATTACAACAAAACTTCAAAAACAGACTCCAACGAGAGACTGCTGAATTGGAAATAATTTGCAAATTGGACACCATTAATTAGGCTTGAATAAAGACTGGGAGTGGATGGGCCATTACACAAAGTAAAACTATTTCCCCATGCTTATTCTCTCCCCCCCCCCCCTCGTTCCTCACATCTCCTTGTCAATTGCTGGAAATGGGCCATTTTCATTACCACTACAAAAAGTTCTTTTTCTCTCCTGCTGATAACACCTCGCCTTAACAGATCACTCTCCTTATAGTGTGTATGGTAACACCCATTGTTTCATGTTCTCTGTGTGTATATATATATATCTTCCTACTGTATTTTCCACTCCATGCATCCGATGAAATGGGCTGTAGCCCACAAAAGCTTATGCTCAAATAAATTTGTTAGTCTCTAAGGTGCCAGCAGAAACAAGTGAGCCAAGAAATGAAGAGGCACCAGGATTTTCAAAGGGGCTGGTACCCAACTCCAGCTGAATTTCAGTGGGGGGTTCGGCACCTCATTTTCTCACCCAGTAGCTTTTTAAGGCAAGTGTTATTAGTGATGAAAAACGGGGGGGGAAATACAGAAACATTGTGATAGGACATCTGACTGAGATTAGAGCCTACGGTAAAACCCATTTTCCCCACTAAACTCCCTCTACCCGCCCCGCCCCTAATGGAAGAGTTTATGAAACAAGAACAAAGCAATGCTTCCTAGAAGCTGGGGAAACCAAAATCCTGATGAAACCTACTCACTACGCCAGCACACAGACATGTGTAAATTTTTCCAAATTTCCCATGAGACGCCGAAAGGAAACTGAAGATCATCCAAGCTTTTACTAATTTTTTGACGCAAGTTTCCCTGGCTCTGCCCATCTACCCCCTCCTCTGGCTGGGAGAGAGTCTAACGGGAAGTGTTGGGCAACCTTAAGTATAGGCAGTGCTACCAGCAATCCTAAATTATATATAAAATAGTTACCGTTAAGATGACGGTCAAGTTCATGATGACCTGTTAGGGATCAATCCCACTCCCAGTTGAAGTCCATGGGAGTCTTTCCATTGGGCTTAGGGAATGCTGGACAGGATCTTTGCACCACGTTCTCTCTTTGAGCCCACCGATCCTATAAGGTGCTGAGTGCCCTCAACGCCTACTGAAGTGAAAGGAGCTGAGGGTGCTCTATACCTGATAGGATTGGGCCTCAAAAAATTAAGATCAGTGCAGGCCTCCTCCCAAAAGCCACTAGAAACGACCCTCCTTCACACTGCAGCTCTCAGCCTGGAGCAGGGGTGGCCAACCTGAGCCCGAGAAGGAGCCAGAATTTACCAATGTACATGGCCAAAAAGCCACAGTAATACGTCAGCAGCCCCCCATGAGCTCCCCCACCCGCTCCCACCGCCTCCCGCCCACCGGCAGCCCCGCCAATCAGCTCCTCAGGCACTGCAAGCTCAGGGGAGGGGGCGGGAAGGGGTGAAGTGGGGGTAGGGCCTGTGGCAGAGCCAGGGCTTGAGCAGTGAGCACCCCCGGCACACCGGAAAGTTGGCGCCTGTAGCTCCAGCCCCGGAGTCGGTGCCTATACAAGGAGCCGCATATTAACTTCTGAAGAGCCGCATGTGGCTCCGGAGCCACCCCTGGCCTAGAGTGTTAGTTCACAGAGACCTTCCCTCCCCCCCAAAACCCATGCATAGAATAATCTCCACTTCAACTCTGGCTTCTGCTGAATGAATTGGGGCCCTCCCCAAGGAGGATCAGCTTTCCCCATGGAGTCTTGTTTGCTGTGTCCTTGTTTATTTAGTCACTCAGTAGGTTCCTCTTTCCAGCCTGCCAAATCCCACTGCATTTGACAGGCAATTCTAACCCAATGCTGCTTTTGTTTGAGCTGAAACTGGTTGTATAAGTGGGGTCAGCAAAAAGGAGTGGAGACGGTACAGGAAATAGGTGCAGTTTATTTCTCAAGCCCAGGCTTATACAACAAGCCACTTACATTTTATCCAGGCACCTTTAAATGGTCTGTGATAGAGATGGCAATGCACTTAATCATCCTCTGGTGGCTCAATATCCGTTAGGGACTGGGCCAGGGGGAAAAAACCCTAACGCGAACAGTCACTAGGAATGGAATGCTGGAAATTCAGATGCGTCTCTGAGTTATGAGGCTTGGGCCAGTCTCTACAAAATACCTTGACAGGCAACCTGCAAAAGCAAAGGCTATTGGTTTCTTTGCGATCCGTCTGAGAGGATTTGCTTCTATTTTTCTGCTTCCCCTGCTTGTTTTAGCTGGAGGTCTCATGAGGGGACCTAGAGCAATGGGGGTGGGAGCTCTTCCAGCCCTATCAGGAGATCATCATCCTTCCTTTCAACTCTCTGGTGGGCACAGGAGTTACATCAGTGTTTAAAAGAGTTTTAGGGTTTGTCTTCTTTAACAAAAGAGGGGCGTTCTTACTACAGAATAACTAACATGCATTAGCCATCCTGGTGTAAAAACACCGCGGAGAGCGGGCACTGTGGTTTTACTGCAGATTAAAGTACTGTGGGGGGTCAACATGGACAGGGGCTATAGGACTGACCTTACCTAGCTCAGCAAGCCCTGCAGCTGGCCTTGTTAGGGAGATAACCCGTGTAGTTATCTCCCCGTTAAACCCCACCCCCAAGCCCCTGCATGTCAATGGGGACGAGCCTTGAACAGTTTGACCGAAACGAAACGCTTCATCTCTCAGTCAGGTTTCATTGGCTTAGTACCTGTGATGTCATAAGCCTACTGGGTCTCTACTTACCCATTGAGTCTTCCAGGAAGGGAGGGTAGACACAGACCCAAACTGCTAGTGTTAAAAGTAGTCAGAAAAAAGTTGTCCTTTTTCCTATCGAAGAAGAAGAGTATAAACCCATTTCCCTGTCCCATTGCATGTCAGCTTTAAAATAACTCCTTCCCCTTATCCCCCAGAGATGACTGGTATCTCAATGTACCAGCCCTTGCTTAGACTGCGGGCTCTTTGGGGCAGGGACTCTTTTTGTTCTGTGTTTGTACAGTGCCTAGCACAATGGGACCCTGGTCCATGACTGGGACTCCTAGGTGCTACCACAATACAAATGAGCACAGCTGGTTGAATTTGGAGTTTCCGTCCCATGGATAATTCCCAGATTTTAAATATGATTTAATCTCAAATCAGGACAAAAAGTTGAAATGCGTTGCTTCAGTTTGTATGAGATAGGGCATCGTGTCATAATGTAATGGGCTAAAGCATGTCTTGAGACATATGGCACATCACCATCACATGGCATGATGACATCACAACATGACACTGCATCATAGCCTGATATATCACACTCTGACATCATTATGTCACGGTAGAATATGAAGACTCATGATGTTCTGAGACAAGAGGTGACATTACATCACAATGTGTAATACTACAACAAAAGTCAAATAAAACATTGATAAATGATCACAAAAACCTACACATTCCCACAAACATTCCAATTCTGTCAAATCAGTATTTTCTAGGGCTGTCAAGCGATTAAAAAAATTAATCACGATTAATCATGCGATTAATCGTGCTGTTAAACAATAATAGAATGCTATTTATATAAATATTTTTGGATGTTTTCCACATTTTCAAATATATTGATTTCAATTACAACACAGAATACAAAGTGTACAGTGCTCACTTTATATTTATTTTTATTATAAATATTTGTACTTTAAAAATAAAATAAAATAAAATAAATAATATTTTCAATTAACTTAATACAAGTACTGTAGTGCAATCTCTTTATCATGAAAGTTGAACTTACAAATGTAGAATTATGTAGAAAAAATAACTGCATTCAAAAATAAAACAATGTCAAACTTTAGAGCCTACAAGTCCACTCAGTCCTACTTCTCGTTCAGCCAATCGCTCAGACAAACAAGTTTGTTTACATTTGCAGGAGATAATGCTGCCCGCTTCTTGTTTACAATGTCAGCTGAAAGTGAGAACAGGCATTCGCATGGCACTGTTGTAGCCGGCATTGCAAGATATTTAAGTGCCAGATGCACTAAAGATTCATATGTCCCTTCATGCTTCAACCACCATTCCAGAGGACATGAGTCCATGCTGATGACAGGTTCTCCTCGATAACGATCATAGAATCATAGAATCATAGAATATCAGAGTTGGAAGGGACCTCAAGAGGTCATCTAGTCCAACCCCCTGCTC